TCCGTAAACAGCTGGAACGAAATGTTCCCCTTAAGAATACTCAAATGGTGGTTTGAGTAAATACCATGTTTGATTTAACAAACGAATGATCTCTGAGTTAAGTACTGTCTAAACATCCATTCCAACCGTATGATCATTTATTTACTCTCGCTCCTTTGAAATATGGCCATGGTACAGTAGGTTATAAACATGAAGTTCTTAGATGCCCATTTCTAGAAACGAAAAAGACGTCTTTCCCTCACTTTGGTAGCCCTTATGAATAGTTTTAAAGTAAACAGCCCTATCCATCCAATATGTTTACGTTATTGTTGTCCAATGATACCAAACATGCCGCCTACTTTGCCGCGCAGCGCTGAAAATTTGGTTGCTTTCACCTAAGAAGCTCAACCAGCGCTTGTTTGACTTTCATACCCTACCATGACAATAAACTTGTAGCAATCCGTATTTTGTTTTCAATCCCATGAATGTCTTTGTTTTGACGGAATTCAAATCAAGGTCGGCAGCCGCCATTTTCATTCAGATTCCACCCACATTTGTTTATGTGAATGAACTCAGACGTATGCAAACAAAATCCACACTCCACGGCAGCTACACTGCTAGCTCCCCGATGAGTGAATTTTGAGGGAGGAATCGCCAATAAGCAGAATTTCCTTAGACAACAAAAGATACACTTTCAGATGTAGAGTCCCCTGTAAAGTAATATTTACACAGCTCTCGTGATTCTAACTGAGCAATAGGCACAGTTTGATATGACAAGATGACAGAAAACTTGCGAATGATCCTACCATTCAAACTTTACTACTCATTTTATTTCAATAGCTCTAACTGTGCTACTGATACCAAAATGAACCAGTGCGATAGATGAACCTCCGAGAAAAGCAACTTCCTTAGAATTAGCCAAATTTTAAGATTAATAGTGTGTTCACCATAGAACCTTTGTGTGCTTGATTGCCCTACCAAAATAAGACTTAATGTGAAGCCATTAGGCTCTAGGCCGTCATCGTAGGTTTGGGACAGACTAAGTAAAACAAGGTCAAGAAATTTCGAAGGCTCAGTTTTAGCGGGATGTTAGGTCACCTAGTCGACAGTTGACAACATTTGATCCACGTCGGTATTGTCAATCGGGTAACGGTGAAGTCGCCTACCTTCACGTCATTAGAATAGTACTCTTAATCTGGGTTCCGATGAATAAACTGAGCTTTCCTTCTCTCAAATTTAATCGCAACACAAACACCCAAACTGGTTTCAAGCTCATCACAACTAGATGGTACTTTAAAGGGACATTTAAATGGACTTTAAGTGTATTTATAAAAGTCATACGCGTATTATACAACATCAAGCAATAGGAGCTGGCGTATACTCACGCCCCAGTAGTATGCCACTAACCGATTTGATTATAGTGAATGTCCTTGAAAACTGCTCCATCATCTGTGTCAGGCTATCAAAGATATGTAGACGATTGTGACAAGTGTTCTTATCTCTCTGGCCTTTACTTACTATCCAGATGTATGACATATTATCCAGCCACTTTATCATTTTAGTCACAGAAACGAATGGAAAAAAATTCAAGGTCATTTCCTGAATAATTTTCAACTGTGTGTTCTACTTAGAGCCGCTTCACATAACTGTTCTACCGAGACAATACGTGCCCATAGTGAATGATTTTTTCTTGATTCGGGTCATTTAATCAAAACTGAGATGTTTCGCTGTGAGTGGCAATGAATCCTCATTTGTTGGAAAATGGCCGATGGGTCTTAAATACAAATCTCTGTGTAAATGCAAGCCTGCAATACACTGTGGCACAAGACCAATAAAGCTTTCGATTCGTAATGGTAATATCGATCTGACAATCTGCGTGTAGGTGTTTAGTTACGTGGAATAATGCGCATCCAATACGGCTGGGTTCTCACCAGACCAGACAAGCAAACCGCCAGGCCTATTACTCCCAACAAATGCGAATTTTGCAATTCATTTTGTACATCAAATTCAGCTGCTTTTCCCCTACTTTGAATAAGGATAACTGGAAACTGGTCCACCAGGTTTCAAAGTCGAGTCCAGAGTTGATAGCGAAAATACTATGAATCAGGTCATTTTTACCTGAAGACTACTTAAAGACCACACGTTAACTTGTAACCAAGAGACTTTCCAAGGCGGGATCATTTGCCTGTAATAACCAAAATCTACCGTAAACACCCCCTGCGAAGAGGTCAAGCCCTCTCTCACTGATACACCCTTGTGAAAGATCGATAAGGGTGCATTGCAATCGAAGTGCAGGAGCTCATCTAAATGGGTAGTATGTTAAGGCTAACTAAGCCGGCTTGAAGGGAGACTATCAAAGGATATCATAGGAGCCTGTTGTCTCTCCTAAGTTGTAGTGTTCTATATCTCAGAGACGTTGAAGTAACAGCAAATATTGATAAAGTTTAGGGGCTACGTTTGCCTGAGTGTTGTGATTAATCATATCGCAACACATATGGGGGACACTTAATGAGGCTTTTTGGCAGTGGTTGAACAGAGGCTGCTGAGATGTTTGTCCAGCTTCGAAATTAGCTTGCAGATGTTTGGCCATTACCCGAGGTTCATCATCAGTACACCGTTTGACGAAAATTCGACGGTCAACTGATCAACTACCTGTAAATTCACCCGACGAATTTCGGTGGCGTTTTGTGTCTCCGTCACTTTACCGGAAATTTAATGCTCGAAAACAACATGCAAAATTTTTTGCTCCAAAGTGAGTCGAATTTTTATCTTTCGTCCTCAAAAAAGTTGCCAGCCATAAGGCTAACATATCTACCCAGGATGCGCTTCTGCTAACCTTTGTCGTTCTGAAGGCAACAAAGACAGAAAACTGGCTAAATGGATCTAGAGGATTTCCTTTTGAATCACCTTGACTGATAGCGACGTTTTGTGTTAATGATACATGTATTCAGTAGTCTATTCCAAGTGAACCGTGGAGGCTTTGTGGAGCCCAGTGAATGTTTGATTCACAATGGAAAAATAGATGTCACGTGCGCTCATCAGCTGATGCGATTTGACCTCTATTTCACAGTTTTCTCAATGTTGGCGCACGGTAATATTTTATCTCCTCAGTGTATCATCCATCTCACGACTCTCAAGAGATGTTCATCCACTGGATATCATCCACTGTGGATATCAAAGCACACGGAGGAACGTTACATGCCAATAGACAAGACATGATGACCATTCTCCCGCACAATGGTGCCACTGAATTAATGGTATTCGAGCGCTGATAATCTTAGATAACGATGGCTTGCCAGGCAGTTAGCCCGCATGAAGAAAATGAGAAAAAAAACCCTCGCCCTCGAAACTAGTTGATGACTGACGAAAAGCAAAATTCGGTTCTTGGGGGGGGACGCCTTACGTCCACCTAAGGCTATCGTTCAGGTGTTTGCGATAAAGACTGTATCAAACTGACACTTGTATGCATATATGTATGTATGTATGTATGTTGTATGTATGTATGTATGTATGTATGTATGTATGTATGTATGTATGTATGTATGTATGTATGTATGTATGTATGTATGTAATGTAGTATGTATGTATGTATGTATGTATGTATGTATGTATGTATGTATGTATGTATGTATGTATGTATGTATGTATGTATGTATGTATGTATGTATGTATGTATGTATGTATGTATGTATGTATGTATGTATGTATGTATGTATGTATGTATGTATGTATGTATGTATGTATGTATGTATGTATGTATGTATGTATGTATGTATGTATGTATGTATGTATGTATGTATGTATGTATGTATGTATGTATGTATGTATGTATGTATGTATGTATGTATGTATGTATGTATGTATGTATGTATGTATGTATGTATGTATGTATGTATGTATGTATGTATGTATGTATGTATGTATGTATGTATGTATGTATGTATGTATGTATGTATGTATGTATGTATGTATGTATGTATGTATGTATGTATGTATGTATGTATGTATGTATGTATGTATGTATGTATGTATGTATGTATGTATGTATGTATGTATGTATGTATGTATGTATGTATGTATGTATGTATGTATGTATGTATGTATGTATGTATGTATGTATGTATGTATGTATGTATGTATGTATGTATGTATGTATGTATGTATGTATGTATGTATGTATGTATGTATGTATGTATGTATGTATGTATGTATGTATGTATGTATGTATGTATGTATGTATGTATGTATGTATGTATGTATGTATGTATGTATGTATGTATGTATGTATGTATGTATGTATGTATGTATGTATGTATGTATGTATGTATGTATGTATGTATGTATGTATGTATGTATGTATGTATGTATGTATGTATGTATGTATGTATGTATGTATGTATGTATGTATGTATGTATGTATGTATGTATGTATGTATGTATGTATGTATGTATGTATGTATGTATGTATGTATGTATGTATGTATGTATGTATGTATGTATGTATGTATGTATGTATGTATGTATGTATGTATGTATGTATGTATGTATGTATGTATGTATGTATGTATGTATGTATGTATGTATGTATGTATGTATGTATGTATGTATGTATGTATGTATGTATGTATGTATGTATGTATGTATGTATGTATGTATGTATGTATGTATGTATGTATGTATGTATGTATGTATGTATGTATGTATGTATGTATGTATGTATGTATGTATGTATGTATGTATGTATGTATGTATGTATGTATGTATGTATGTATGTATGTATGTATGTATGTATGTATGTATGTATGCTACAGTCAACAAAGACTGTACATTCAGCAGCATTGCCATTACTCATAAAGGGGCGGCGTGAAAAATCATTTTGAATGTCGTAGAAATTGTCAACTTGTTAGTCATCAAAAGCAGTTTCGTATCATCTCACTACAGATAGAAGCACCATCAACAGATAACAAAAGGAATTACACGAAAAGACATTCTGTGCATTTCATTTTTGTCTTTGTCCCAAGTTTCAGATCCGAATACACTCCAACAAGCATCAACTTCCGTTGATCTGGAACATCGTGGGTGTTCTGGTGGAAGAATTAATCCAGATTATGCTCAGTCTCGAACGGGCACATATAGCCAGTTTTCGAAGCCCGATTTCCCAGCTGCTACCATTCGTTCTCGCTCCAGCCCAACCATCACTGCAACAACGGTGTTCCCCTTGGAAACACAGTCCGACTATATGACGGCGGTCTGGCATTTGGATGGAGCGGAAAACTACCAGACATGTTCTTTGGAATATGCAAATCAACCTGAAGCTTGTCTAAGGAGTCCAAAGAAAACGGACGAAAACTTTGCGGCCCCGTTTTTGGTAAGCGTTCATCTGATTTTTTCCTAATACCGGCCGTCATAAACAGGTCTAATTAGGTCGACTTTACTCATCTTGGTTAATTCCCGAAGCCCTACAATCAAGTAGTATGTCTGAGTGTTGCAAAATTGTGCTTTTTATTGATTGTTGCCCTATTATCTACGCTATGATATTGGTTTGCAAAGCAAGTCGCATACTGCCGATATATTCGACCAAACTGCCAAGTTCGGCGAGTAGACTGATGATCAACAATTTTACTGTGATCGTAAAAACTAAGAACCCTCCTACTTTACAGAACCTACACGTTATTAGCCAATGCCCCGGTTTCGGATGTTAGAAAAATATCGTAGGGAATTCGCATATTTAGATTGTATTTTCTAAAACATCCTGAAACAACTTCGTAACTGGTTATTCCGGAAGTAGCAGAAACAAAACAGATAGCTCTTCTTGGTGACTGGCAAGGGGAGTGCATCATTCTGGTGGTGCGTTTTTGGAAAAACTCTGCTTCGTTCTTCTTCTTTCCGGGCCATAGCTATCTCATCTCTTTTAAAAATGAATCAGATCGCTTTATCAATCGTCAGCCTACAAAATGTACAAAACTGAGCTACCGTGTTCAAGAATGTTTGTGATACCGCCAGCAGTAAGGTCGGTTTGTCTCGTGTCGCTACTGTAAAGACCAGAATAACAGAACAGATCAAGCGGCAAGCCATCTGTGAGTATCACACAGATATCACACTTGCGGCTCATTCAACGTAACACTGATGCTGCTGAAAATACCTGAGAGGGTTTCACGTATGAGACAGCCAACACCTGACCACCAATCACAGAGGACATACTCTGACTTTCTGTATAAGGATCAACCAAATATGAATTCGGATACTGCAGATATTAGAGTAAGTTTTACCCTTGTTCAGAGGTAGTTATTTTCCGACTAGATGTGCACCATACTACGGCAAACATCAACAATTGCACAATGCACCTGTCACCAGTTCAAGGTCAGAACACACATCTGTACTACGGTCAAGGGCGCGCGTTTTCAGACACATGAACGCTATGTGTAACCAATGAAGCCTTGTGTGTAGACAGAACTGGCTATAAAAGGATTTACATATAAGTCAGAAAAAGTAATCCCAAAGAGTTGAAAAAAAACTATTCTATCTTCATTTATACTGGTTGGTTTCTTTCGTTTTATGCGGCGCACATGTTATCAACGGTGAAAAACGGTCTGTTGTTCAAAGCTTCAACCGCAGCTTCCGTATGTAATGTGAACAACCATACGTTTCTGCGAGAGCAATCAGCGCGCATTTCAGCCATTCTGTTTGCAACCAAAGATAGCCCTGCATTTGTACGTTACTATCCATATTATTCCAAGGTTCTCCAAGAGCACTCCCTGCCTTCGTTTTGCTTACATGACACCAATCAAGTAATGTCAACCAAGACAATACTTTAGCAATGTCACTAAACTATTGACGTAAATAGTAAGTGAACAGCAAGGGAATTGATCGGAAAGCACCACTTGGGTCCACTTTCGATATGCATAATCAACTACTGGGATCTGAGTTTACAGTACACGAAAAAACAGGCACAATAGCATCATACTAATGTGGCCATCGGTTTGCATGCGCTCACGTCGTCTATTCACCGACGGACTGTCAATTATGTACACTAAGCTTAATCCTTATCTGCATCAGATCATACACTGATTCGTTTCTTTTTTACAGATTTTTCGATCGGAGCAATTAGCTAATGGGTCGCTATAACCCGGCATTACCGGTGTTACCTAATGCAGCTGTCATTCATGATTCGGGGAACCGGATATGAAGTTTGTCAACTGACAGACTGCCTGTTGTTCACTAAGACTCAGCCCTATTGGATTTGAGTGTGGATTAGAAAGAATTAAACTTCCATCTAACTGACAACTGATTTGAAACTGTTCGCCAAATTTGTCGGCTCCTTCAACCCAACATGTATCCCCTAATAACCAGTGTGAATGGGAGCACGATTGGACGTATAATGCTTTCTCCCCCGAAATGAGATAGATAAGATTTGAACATTACTGAAATAAGTTTTTTGCCCTTCAGGGTCGGTTGAAACAATTTACAAATCGGGCTACCTTCATGCTTACCTTCATCTAGTCTAAAAGCATCTAAAATATCTAAACATCTTATAATGTCTGAAAACATTGAGAAATATCACAAACGAGAGATTCAGCTGGTTTCCAGGGGAGTCTCTCACAAAATCGAATTTGTATGCAAATGAGTGTAGTTCGCTAATTTCATGCAATTTGGTTTCCAGTAGAACGTAAGGTTGAAGGAAACCCAGGGACTGCGTCTACTTGACGAGCTCCAAGAAGAGCGAAGCCGGTCATGGGCTGTCAAGGAGTTTTCAGCAACCTTACGAGTAGTGCATTACAGATATACATGTATCGTGATATCTCAAATATTGTAGCAACTGAAACATGAGGCGAACTGGTGCAGCACATTCAGTTGCCTGAAAACACTACAAACGAGAGATTAAGCTGGGTTTCAGATGAGTCTCTCACAAAACCAAATTTGTTTGCAAATGACTACATTCATCTGAAAATTTGTTTTTTTTTCGGCCAGAAGAACGGCTGTTTGGAGATAATCTGGAAATGAATGAATTTGATCGCGCAACCACGTTTATTAGAACAATTTTAAGCGGTCATTGCACTGGTATATTGTGGGTGGTTATTTCGATGATGATTAGATAACCAGGGAGCGATTCAGTCGTAATCAACTAATGGGAGGAATAAGTTGGCACAAACTCGAGGTTCAACATCTCTTATGGTGCTCCTCCACTAAATGTGTTGTAGTGACCTTTGTGAACCACATTCACTTGAAGGGGAGCACGAGTGAGAGATTCGGTTGGGGGTTAGTTCCATCACATTTTGATCTCAGTATCTAAAATGCGTACATTTTTCCAAATGCGATCAATAAGATTCCCAAGCAACTCGTATGGTAAAAAGAAATGTGTTGACAGAGAGTAAATCTGGCCTTGAACTTTTAGAGAGTCTTCACTAACCTTATGGATAGTGTGTTGCGTCAAGAGTGAGCATCTCTAACATGGTTGTATGATTATACTTCTGCTAATTTTGCTCAGCGCTACGCATCCTCAAGCTCACTAAAATTTAGAGTACACCCATCTGGAATATGAACCAGAGGTCTTTGACTATTAGGCCGTCAGTTTTGGTTCACAACATCTGAGTCGTTCAAAATAAAGTGGTGTGCAGGACTTCTTGGTTGAGCCTGTTGATTGTCAGCACAGCGGAAATTATTCGTCCTCTAAAATGTATTTTAGAAATAGTCTGCTGGTTCACAGACTATGATTAGACAAATACTTGAAAGGTTGATTGTAGTTTAATCCTCGTTTCGCTTTTCAACACGTTTATAAACGCACGTCCACAGTTCAAGCTACGTACAGACGCCACTCAGCACACACACAGAGTCAGGGCTGTGCTCTGTCACACAGTGCAACGGACGGTGGCAGAATCAGTATAACAGAGATGATCACTCAGTAAACCACGTGACGTTCATCTCTTGTTTTTTGTACTTGGAGTAAGCTTCAAATGCGTGCAGACCATCAGCGCTAACTCCATGCTTATACTTAGTCGTATAAATACATACCCGGTAGCTTTGAGGTGCGATTATTTTAGTAGTGCTATCAAAGCAGTTTACGGACACTGAAGTGCTCCAGCTTATTCGATAAAACTCTTCCTTTGTCGAATAAAGTTGACTTTAGAATTGTTAGTTATTGTTCACCACACATTACTGTACAGCTGACAGGCGCTGCAAGTGAGTAGCAAATAAAACGTGACCAACAGTCTTCGAAATCACATGCATTCATTATTCTTCTCGTCCTCTTACGATTGAAACTAATTTTCGCTAAACCCCGAGTCCATCTGTTTTTCAATAGAAAACGTAATGATGAATGTTTTTGGTTTTGCCGGCAATTACACATTTTAAGAGCCTCTGGTTGACATGTTCAAGCTTAATCTGCCGTCGTTGTATTCAGAGTATGTGCTTTCCCCAGAGCGACGTTAAACATGTTGCCTAGAGGACGTTTTTAATGCATATTTCAAAAGTATAACTCTTAGAGCAAGCCGGATGTCTCCTAATCCATTAGATTCATACAATTAACTATGCTGATAGCAATAAGAATTGCTTACGTTGTGTACTGATATGATAAAATTAAACAAACTTGCCACCGGCGCACACTTCAAGCATTGATCAAGCATTTGGCACGTGATTGATGTGGTTTGCTTTCACAATCTGGTGTACTTAGTATGTCGTTACTAAGCCATCAGCATCTGTTTCCTCTCAGTCTTTTTAAACTAAAGGATTACTGGTGCGAATGAAGCATCTTTTGACTAAAAACGACGTTTTCCTGATTCCATACCGAAGTAAACAAAGCTACTTTGAAATGGTGTATTAAATTCAGCCGGGAAAAACAAAGCCATATCACGCGGTGAAGAGTTATTATGTACCCTCATCGTTTGCTTGTATGGCGTTGCAGGAATTTGGCAGCCACATTTTACCATAAAGCATACTTTTGTTCCCAATGTCATTATGACCTGGCATCAGATTCGCTAAATTAATTTCACTTGGTAACGCGGTTTTTTGAATAAATTCTTGATGTTAGCCATGCTACCAAAAAGTGATTTGTATGAGACAATAATTTTGTCAGAATAACTTTCACTAAACCATAGATTTAGAGTCAGAAAATCTTAGTGTCTATTGAATATTTGTGTGATGTTCTAAACCACTCATTGTGAGAATATCTACGTTTTATCGATACTGTAACTATGTTGTGCACTATGTTTACCTTTGATTTTTTGTTTAGTTAGGGTTAGTTTACATAAACAAACGCGTCTATTTTACGACCGGCGGGCATTTTAGGAGCCTCTGGTTGACATATTCAAGCAAAATCTGCCATCGTTGTATTTAACTATGTAATGTTTTTCCCACAGCGATGTTACACATGTT